CGTTACTTGTGCCGCTGATTTCCTCTCGAAAATGTTACAGAGTTTCTTCCACATTTCTTTGGCTGTTTTACGGTGGAGAATATGCTTCGTAAAACGTACGTCGATCGTAGATGCAATGCAATAACGCGCATCACTGTCCTTCTTGCGCCATACCTTGTATGCCATAACGTGTTTCTGTCGGCATCTCTTTGTTTCCTTCAACGACATCCTTGATATCCTTTTTCTCAAATAATAAAGACATGCTAAACTTCCAAAACTTGAAGTTATTGTCGTTAAGTTTATCTATTGCGATAAATTCTTTGTCCGCCATATTTTTATATATACGTGTAACTCGTGCTTACCGAGACTGACTGACTTTGACTAAGAAAGAACTTTCACTTATTACTTTATTTGACACCTTCTATGCGCAGTGGAAGCGTACTGGGCCCATAACCTGTCACTTGTTGTAATAAATGAGATAACTAGTGCTCAAAATCAGGTAGAAATATAGAAATATATTTGTGTGTATAACATACATACAGCGCGAATAGCGAAACGTGAACAAGAACATAAACTAACTAAGAACTAAAGAGAGTAATGCGCTTATAACGCCTACTGCCTAATGCCATCTATAGCACGTGAGGACTCAACTCCTAACAATTTCTTTCGGAAATGCTTAGTTTCCAAAATATTAAGGGGTTCCGGCATTTTTTGGACACCCTGTATAGTATAGATGTCTGTGAACTAATGTGGGCTGGCAATTTTTAATATATAGAGCCAGAGGCGATTTAACGTTGGCTAGCATTTTTAATAAATAAAACTGGAGACAATCTAACATGAGCTGGCAATTTTTTTAATAAATAAAACTACAGGCGATTTAATGAGAGTTAGCAATTTGTAATAAATTTAGATATAGGCGATTTAACGTGGGCTAGCAGTTTTCGAATAATACATTTGTTTTTGTTAGTAATTGAATATACGTGTGATTTGTGTACATGTATTGAAAGCTTTATAAAATTCACACTTTCTTTCTTAACCGAAATTTCATCGTATGGCTATGATATAAATGTACGAGACAAAATAGGCACATATATTCTGTCCAGCGAGAGAATAGTTTCGGTCTGCGGATAGGAGAAGCATAGCGGGCAAAGTGGGGACAGCGTTAGCATTGGCAAACTGCACGAGCAGTACAGTCCTGTAGAGCGGGGAGGAGGGGGGGGGGGGCTTTCTAAGCGTTCCGTGTAGGGCAACCTGCCTTCTCTCTCGCTGGAAAGAATATACATACATTACACAAGCCTGCATGGTCCAGCATTCTGGAAAAGAAAAGTAATTTCCTACGTAATTTTGTGCGCTGAATCCGAATTCGGCAATGAAATTGCACTGTCACGTCAGATTTTTGAGAAAAATGAGGTTAAAAGGGTCAAAAATAACGTTTTTGACATATTTATGATTTTTTCGCAGGTTAAATAAATTTTTTTTTATTTCAGTTTACGCCTTCTTAAAGTGCCAACTTTGATCTTCAAAACTGATTTTTTGAAACTCTACGATTTTTTTTCGTCAAGTTAAACTCTTTGCTGTCAGGCGAAGAAGAACATTTTGTGTGAAAAATGTTTTTAAAAAAATATTTTTAGGAATTGCATGATAATTTTAATATCAAGGTTTTTGAGGTCGCTGAATCAAAATCTAAAATCAGATTTTTAAAATTCAAAATGGCGGATCCAATATGGTGGACAAAAGTGATTATTTTCCTTTGACCTTGGTTTAGGTTAGCAAACTAAGGCAAGATCAAGGGATTACCCAGCCAACAAAGGCAAGATTCGAAGATGATCCAGCCAACGAAAGCAAGATTTGAAGATGATCCAGCCGACGAAGGCAAGATTCGAAGATGATCCAGCCAACTAAGGCAAGATTCGAAGATAATCCAGCCAACAAAGGCAAAATCAAGGGATTACCCAGCCAACGAAGATCGGGAGGTGATTCTGAACAACAAATTTTTGTAATGTTGGACAACAAATTTGATTACTTATTCAGATACAGAATCAAAAAACCGTTTCTTTGACTGTCTACTGTGAGCCGCATGAGGAATGTCTCGCTTGATGCTCCAACAGTAGTCCGCTAACATGTTGATTTAGCGACCTTGATATCTTCTTTCCATCTCTTTAATATTCTGATGGAACCTTTCACTTTGTTCCTCACTTTCGCTTCCTAAGCTACATTTAGGGAAGTAGTCAAGATGGCTGTACAAAAAGTGTATCTTCAAGTTTATGTTGCATTTTAATTTTCTAAATTTATCGAGCATATTCTTTATCAATTCTTCGTATTTTGGATCATTTTTGTTTCCCAAGAAACCCAAAATCACTTTCTTAAATGCAATCCAAGCTTTTTTTCTGAGGAGATCATCGTTTCTTGAAACATTTTGTCCTTGGTCAGCAATCTAATTTGAGGCCCAAAAAAACGTCTTCCTTAATTTTCGCGTCACTGAGCTGAGAAAATTTTGTGCAGAGGTACTTGAAGCAATCTCCTTCTTTGTTAAGAGCCTTCACAAATTGCTTCATGAGGCCCAGTTTTATGTGAAGTGGAGGCAGCAGAACTTTAGCAGGATCAACCAATGGTTCATGTATCACATTGTGTTTACCAGGTTTTAAGCTTGTTCTTGTTTTCCATTTTTTATCTGTCCTGTGGAGTTTTCTAGCCCTACTGTCCCATTCGCACAGAAAACATGGAAATTTGATATAACCTTGCTGTTGACCTAAAAGCATACACAAGATTCTCAAATCACCGCAAAGTAACCAATTGTGCTGTTTATAGTCAATAGCTTTCAACAGTGTTTGTAAGTTCTCATATGTGAACTCCTCTTTTAAATGGACTGAGTGCCCAATAGATACTGATGCATACTTCCCCCCATTGTGAAGGAGAACAGCTTTTAGACTTAGTTTCGAATAATCGATAGAAAGTCTCCATTCATTTGCTTCATAAATTTTCAGTCCTAAAGTATGCATTAAATCAGGAACATTATTGTAAAAAACTAATGAACTTACCTGGGAAAAGAAAGGAACGAATTCCTTTTCACGGTTTTTGTACCAAGCAAACATTGTTCCCGATTCTAACAAATTTCTTTCTTTCAATCTTGATCCTAGTAATTCTGCATCCTGTTTAGGCAGACCTAAATCTCTTATAAGATCATTCAAAGCAGATTGATCGAAAGGCTTTGGATTGTTATCAATCAGCTCGATTGCATGAGGCTCAAAGGCCACATCATCACCATCAAGATTTTTAGAATACAATGATGGTGAGGAAGAAACATTCATTAATGGAGAAGGAATAGGAACATCAAGTCTACGAGGAACAAGTCTTGTCGCGCATGATAGAGTAGGATAGGAGATACTTTGTTTATTACGACCACTGTAACTCTCAACACGACATGAGCAAAAGTAGGACCTAGTTATATGATCAGTCGATTCACGCCAGATCATCGGAATACCATGTCACGAAATCGTATGCCACTTCTTTCTCCTTTCATCCAATACCACAATGCTTGATAACATCCCCTACAGACTTTATGAGGAACCCATGATTTATCGAGATTTTTCATTTCCATTTTATTCAATTTAATTTCCATTTTATTCATTTCCAAATATTCAAAATAGCTTGTTTTGATATTTTGCGTTATAGGAATTCTTTGTTTCTCTGTGAGATATTCACCATAAATGTAGCAAAATTTATTTGGATTGTTTTTACACTTCCATGAAGCGATTCTGTTCAATGTAAAGGTAATAATAATTACAAAACACAAAAAGATTATGTTTGTTTTATATTAAAAGATTAAATGAAGGAAACTATGTATACTCTATGAAAAGCAATCCAATAAGAAGATGATGATTTAATAAACATTTAATCTTGGAAAAAAGAACTCATTCCGAAAATTGGAACAGAGAAAACCCAAACGGACGACTATTTGTCGTATGTTGGATCGACCACTTGTCGGTTTATTTCATTCGTTTATGCGACCAACATCTATACTCTCCGGCGCGCAACTTTGCTTTGGATTTGTTTGCCGCCTGGCGCATAGTGGGACGAAACGCAGTTTTTTTTTAAAAGTCGCCACAGCATTCAATTCTTATTCATGCAATTCCTAAAATTTTTTTTTGAAAAACATTTTTTATACGAAATGTTCTTCTTCGCCTGACAACGAAGAGCTTAACTCGACGAAAAAAAATCGTACGGAGTACGATTCAAAAAATTAGTTTTAAAGGTCAAAGTTGGCACTTTAAGAAGGCGTAAACGTGAGTAAAAAAAAATTTACTTAACCTGCGAAAAAATCAAATATGCCAAAGAACGTCATTTTTGACTCTTTTAACCTCACTTTTCTCAAAAACCTGACATGATAGAGCAATTTCGTTGCCGAATTCGGATTCAGTGCACAAAATTATGTAGGAAACGACTTTTCTTTTCCAGAATGCAAAGAAAAGTTAAAATGTTGCAGGATTGTGTTATATTCCAGTCTTACGACGGAATTTCGGTCGAGGAAAAAGTGCAGGCGTCATTTGTTTACAAACCATCCGATGATATATAGACAAACCACACGTCAGTGTAGTGAGTTACTGACCAACAAATATATATACACGGACATTATGTCAGTAATGTTAATCACATTTTTAGTTTCATTTAAATGATGGCGCTTTCGCATTTAAGTTTGGCAGGCACTACTTAATATCAATTTTATATAGCCTAATGTAATTTGGTGATTTTAAATAATATTAAACAAAGTTGATTTGATTGTTTAAAATACATCATTGAAGCAAGCATTAAATTTTAAGAGTTTCAAAATTCAAAATTAAGATTAAATTATTTCAAAATTAAGATTAAAAGTAAAAGAAAAATTTGAACTTAGAATCAAAATCTTTTATTAGTCTATTAGTTTGTCTAAATAAGCATAAACTATCCTTAAAAATGTCAAAGAAGCAAAATTATATGACTCAAGTAATGATAGTTATATAAACAAATGTAGCATTATTAATCACCTGATTGGAAGGCTTCATTCTATAATTGAACAAATGAATTTCTGGGTTGTAGAAAATCTTTTTCATGTCTTTTAGCGATATTTTGAGCGAACATAATTCCGTGTGATTTGCATATCTGTCGTGGTCGTACGCCATGATATCTAAAATCCATTCCTACAGAAGAAAATAATCATCAGAGAAGTCACTGCAAACAATTTGCTCTCATAAAACTTTCTGCTTGCGGCAGAGTACAACAGTTTGCATATCAACCATCAATTTACAGGGCACGTTGTGCATATTTTAAATTTAATATTCTGTACATAATTTAATTGAATGAAGAACTTTTTCGAGAAGAAATCAATTAATAAGTTAACAAATGTTATTTAATACATATAATAAAAAAATATAAAAACTAACAAGGCCACGTAGCCCTCTGTCTCACCGATTTTAATAAAAAAATTTTTACGAGTAGTTTTCGTCCAATAAAGTTGCCGCAAAGTTATTCGATGCACTTCTCGGAATTTGCAGAAAAAAAATTCATAAAGTTAAACACGGCGTATATAAACTTTACTGTTCGTAATATCAGTTTATAACACCAAAAGAAGAACATTAAAATTGTGAAACTTTAATTTATTATATCTCTTAAACCAATGCTGTCTTCCACTTGATTCTTACGAGGAATTACTTAAAACAATCTTCTCTACAACATATTTAAATGGCGATAAAATCGGAGGTATGACCTAAAATGCATATTTACCGACAATAACCATAAAATATAAAATTAAATATTATTTAGCATAACAATAAAATATAGATACAAATAATCATTAAACAGTAATACATATGATAATATTGCACTGCTGATAATAAAATATATTGTACTATTTATTGCTATCTCGCGTTTTTAACTCTGTATGTAGCATATACAGGGCGTTTATTATAAAACTTTCCATCCTGTTTATTTTGTGACCGATAATTTTTATGAAAAATGCTAAAAGAGGTCAACTTCGTTTTTGAGGGGACGTATATATATATTTTTATTACTTCAACTATTGCCAAAAAGGGACGTGTAAATACAATAAATTTAATGGTCGTTTTTTTCCGTTCTCTACACAATAAATACACAGTAAATCTACACAATAAATAAATTGTATAATTTATTGACTGTTTTGTTAAAATAAATAATATAAATGACGTTATAATAAATCACAAAGTAAATAAATTATACTCTACATTGTATCATTGTACTTAAAATTTTTTTTCATACATAAAACTTCTAAGTGCGATTTCTCAAGAAATATCCACTGAAATTTAAAAAATCAAACGCGGTTGTAAAAAGAATTAAAAAATTTTTAAAATGATGTGTCACTTGACCTCTATTGCCATTAAACATTTTTGAGCGGGTAGTTACCTCTACGAAAAGGATAAAGCAGTACCATTGAATTTATCGTATTTACACGTCCCCCTCGACAAGTTGACCTCTTTTGGCATTTTTCGCAAAAATTATCGGTCACAAAATAAAGGATGGAAAGTTTTATAATGAACACCCTGTATATACGAATTCTGAGTCCTATCTGTCTCCTATCTGCTCGCCAAAACTGGGCGCTCCGCGCTTGTTGCGCCCGTAACATAGCAACGTGTGTACGTAGTTGGAGATTCTTATGTATGCGCGCGCAAAAGTTTATTTCTGGCATTACTACCTCCGGGAGTGTCAGTCAAGTCCTGGATATTTGAGGCTGTGCTAAGGTGAAATCGCATGACTGCGATACTCGTGGAATAAAAATGGAAAATTTTTCACTATCGCCACTCAAAAAGGCCGTCCAGGGCGTGACTTTTCGAGGAAGCGAACAATCGGAAGAATATCGAACGGGGAGAGCGGACTTATCTATAAAAAAACCCGTCCAAAAACCCGCCTTAGGTACAACGGCGTCGCCAGACGTTATTATAAAAAGCAGCTTCAAAGGAAAAGAGGAGTAATCAAGGATTAAATCAAACCCCTTCAAGTTGCTTCGAACTTCGAGGACAAGGGCCTCCACAGAGGCATCAGAACGTTCCAGGCCGGAACATAATACTCCCAGTCCCTCAAAGATTCGTCAGGACAAGAAACCCAAGATCACTAATGAAGGATCGTATGCTAAGGTAACAAAAGGATTAATCAGGTTACCTCTCGTCATGGAAGGGTATCCTGAAAGAAAACTAGGTATCGGTAAGGTGGTTAAAATTAAGAAACTGATTAGACGGCATTGTCTCCAATTTTCGGAGGGTACAAAAGCTCACACCTTTCACTGGTTCCTAGAAAAGAAACGGTACACTGGTTTTTGCGTGTGTCGACGAGCATCGGGAGTGGCTTAAAAACCTCTCTTCTGATACTAAAATAAGGAAAACTTCCTTACGTGTCTTGCCTGTCAATGAGCTGCTAAAGCGACATCAAGTTGTAGTACATATAAAGGAACATGCTTATCGAGAAGGCCACGAGGCTCCTCAATATATAAAATGAGAGCTTGGCGATTAAAGAAAAGATCATCTAGAAGGAACGATAGAAGAGGTACTACAAGCATTCACTTTGGCTGTTTGTTTGAAGACTCCTCTCTGAAAATCTTAAAGGCCTGCAAAGATTTTTCTGCGGACTAAGACAAGCAACCGTAAAGCAATGATGCTAGCCGTGCGTATTTGGGCTGCACACGCACACAACATTTATTGTAAGGGCTTTCTCCCCGAAGGGACAAAACCTCTGTTGCCTGGGCGCAGAAGCGATATACGCCACAATACTCTCCACTATCTAGCAAAACCCCAAAAGCCGGACGATAGAAAAATCCAGCCGCGCCTACGGGTTCGCACGCAGGATGAGCAGTTTAGCCGGTGCAACCACCTCTTTACACACCCGGAAAAACGACAGGACACGCTACCCACCTGTTATTGATGAACGCGCCCAGCCGCCGCTCCCTGTACCCTAGCCACGCCCACGGGGAGGCCTGCTCATTCGTGTCCCGTACCTGGACACGCGCTCTGACCCTATTAGGTAGGAAATAAGGAAAGGATCAAAAGGAAGAGAATCATGGGATCGGAGGAAATGGTTAGGAGGGAAGGATATGACAACTGTGTCATTGGATTTTAAGGTTGGAAACTTTACCTAATATGTATCTAATGCCTACCTATCTTTTCTCTAACCTTTTGGTAACGCAGTTTACCCGAGATGCTTATGGGGCTGCGCCTCCATGCTCGAAAGTTCCGATGAAAACCCACGAGTAAATGGCTCAGAATCTATGACTATCTACGAATCGTACGCGCCTTTACCTAGCCGAAATTTCTACTAATTTGCCTTGTTGAACCCTTTCAGCTAAAGAGACTCTTTACAGAAGTCGCCGAACAGGGAAAAGGCCCTGGAGTTTCCACCAAGAAGGGTGCCACCTCCGGCTATCTCCAACTGTCAACCCCTATCATTTCGCGCAGAGCGATTCTCTGCATTTCGAATCTTTCGCACTTGAGAAGGAAGTGCGGTACAGTGTCATCGCCGCCGTCACAGTCACAGGCGCCGCTGTCAGCGAGTCCGAGCGACGTTAGGCGTGCCCGGAAATCGCCATGGACCGTAAGCACCTGCGCGCTCCAACGTTCAGGCCGAATCCACCGCGCGTCCATTCTCCCAGAAATGTCCCTGAAGAACGAATAAGTAGTACGGCCTTTTGTTAAAGAATTCTACTTGGCCTGCCACATCCTACTACCTTCTGTCCTGATACGTTTTACCGCATCCTCATCAGCTGCTGAAATTATTGTATCTCCTATCTCGACGTCCCTACCTCTTCTAATTTCATACGTAGCCCTGCTTTCCTAAGGAAGGATTTCGACCGGGGTCGCACCAGCGACAACGCACAATGATTCTCGCGATGACGTTCTGTACGCGCCTATCACCGGTATCAGCGCCTTGCGCCGTATACTTTGTAATTTTCTAATATCGCGTTCCGTACAAAGGTCTGCCCATCCCGCTGCGGCATACGCCACAGTCGGGGCGAACACTCCCCTGTAAATAGTCGAGAGCGCCGTATACTTAAGACCTCATGACCTAGTTAGCTTGCCCAATCTCGCGAATAGCAATTCTACTCTATTCTTCAAATGTTCGCAATGGGATTTTACTTCCATATCCTTATCAAAATAGACACTGAGATATTTAACTAAATTCCTAAATTTTATGCTTTTATCTCTTATTGTTGGAGGCTTTTCTGCAAGATCTGTTTTCTTTATGTTTGATTTCCGCTTCCTATCCGGGCGGTCTCCTCCCCTTCTATTAACAGGTGCTCTACCTATTTCCTTGCTTTTCAAAATTATCGCTTCCGTCTTATTTTCGGAAATTTCTAGCTTCGCGGACTTGCACCAATTTACGATCCACAATTTTTTGACCCTCTAATTCTTCTCTCCGCGAATTTCCTCTTATCACCGTTACTAAATCGTCCGCGTAAACTGCGTATTGTCTCTGAGCTATTTCATTTAATTCCCTAAGTAATCCGTCGAACATATCGTTCCAGCAGGTGGGATCGAGAACGGAGCCCTGCGGGCATCCTCTCGTGGCCTGCTTGGAAACTTTCCCGTGCCCTAACTCTATCTGCACCTTTCGATCGCTGAAGTAGCTCCGGAGCACTTCGAAAACGTTCTTGGGGCAGTTCCTATCTTTTAAGCTATCTAATACAAGGGGCCATCAGACATTGTCGAAGGCACCCGAGATATCGAAGAGTAGGGCGACGGCATACCTCTCTTCAGGCAGAGACCATCCTCCGCAACTCCGCAATAACATCCTCCGTCGACCTTCTGGGCATGAAACCGAACTGTCGGCCGGAGATATTACCAGGCGTCACCGACGTGTCCTCTAGGCAAAGCTTGATAAGCTTTTCAAAAAGTTTCCCTACTACAGAGAGGAGACATATGGAGACATATTATAAGATTTCGGATCCTTCTCGTCACTGTCTTCGCTTTTCAGAAGAACTCATAATGAGCCCTCCTTCCAAGTCGAGAGAAAAACGCCCCACTAAAGGCACCCGTTAAATAACCTAACTATCTGACCGGGGATTGTTCTGCACGCTACTTTCAAGACACTGACCTCGATTAGATCAGGTCCGGGTGCTTTATAATTTTAAAAACTTCTAATTACCTCGACGACTTTTTGCTCCATGAAGATAAAAGCATCAGCCGTATTTGGCGCAAATTGTGCGTTTTCCCTAACTAACCTTTGATTTTCAGTATCTTCATTCTCCCAGTCATCTGGAATATGGACATACAGAAGGTAGCTGGCTGTCTTTTCTACGGTGTTGATAGAGTATTTGCCACATCGGAGAGTGTTAAGCATTTTCTCAACTCGAAGTTTCTCAGCTTGTTGCTTGTAAACGTAACTCCAAGCCTCCAAGTTGCCGTGTGACGTGACGAATTTTCGCCAGCTTACGAGCTTCGCCTTCCTCATCTCCCTGCTGTAGTTCCGCAGAAATACGCGGTACTCTTGGCGCGGTACTCTTGGCGCAGGGTGAAATAATTGGGCTTCTCTCGTCCTATTTGGGTGGCACGTTTCAACCTATATACTATGACTTTTTGACGACAGACAATTCTCTGGTGCACCACGGATTTCCTAAACCTTTGTTTCCTTGGCATAGAAGACGTACAGGTCTCTTGGAGCACCGTAAGTTTCTGCGTCATCAACTCTACATCCCCCGCAGACTGCAGACCAAGGATCTCGAGTTGCTAGATAGATCGCGCAGGCTCTCGGCGAACTGATCCCAATCGGTCCGACGTGTGTCTAATCGGTTAGTCTCAGCCCCTCAGTCATTGTCCGTTGCTCTTGGCACTCTCACTCTGATGTCCACGGAGTTGTGATCGCTGCTCATTCAATCCTGCCTCACCTTACACTCGCCGATGAATTGGCTCATGGTAGGGGACGAGAGAGTAACATCTGTATAAGACAACCCTCCCGCCGTCCAGTAGGTGAGAGGCTGAGCAGCATTCAATATCTGGAGACCAAATGAGGTCCTTGAGTTTGCCACCTCTTTCGTCTGTTCTCTAAGGACCCCTGAGAAACGACCGCGCATTGGCATCTACTGCAATTAGCATTCTCTTCCCCCTTGTTAGGGAACTGACCATAAGGCTCGATATATCTCGATATATATCGAGAGCGGAGACACGATAGGGCATTGACAAGTGTATGAGAGAAAAGATAAAGAAGCTTAATAAATGCAGTTATCGTATTATAAGATAAATCCCATCCTATATTTAATTACTTAATTGTGAAGTATAACATGGCGCAGTCGTAGTCGAGAGAAGTTCCAAAGAAATACGGTAAAGAAATAAGTACAGGCACTCGGTATCGAGAACAACGAAAAATAACCTCAAAACACGTGCACGAGACGACTGGTACGAGCACGACGAGACGCGATGGGAGACGCAAGAGGCATCAGCCCTATGAGAATGGCAGGGAACATTGCAGAGAACTGGCAAATGTGGCGTAGTAGATTCGAAAACTATCTGAAGGCGTCAGAAGTATCGAAGAAATCACAAGAGACCCAGTGTGCGCAACTCTTACATTACATAGGGAAAGAAGGGTTCAAAATTTATAAAACCTTTCCTATAGCAGAAAATGAGAAAGATAAACTACCAATCTTATTAGACAAATTTGAAGCTCACTTCCTACCAAAGGAAAATCTTTCGTATGAAAGATACGTCTTCTTCACAATGAGGCAAAAATCCGGACAGTCACTGGAACAGTTTGTGGTAGAACTGACAGAACAAGCGCAAAAATGTAAACTAGGAGAACTACAAAACAGCCTGATCAAATGTATGATCACCTGCGGAGTCCAGAGCAACCCGATGAGAGAGAAGCTGCTGCAGGATGACTCACTAACGCTGGAAGAGGCCATTCATCAGTGTAAAGTAATGGAAAAGGCGAAGATCCAAAGCAAGGAAATGGAAGCTCTGGGAAAATCTACGGGAACAGTCAACGCAATTAAATTATATAAGAAAGCGGGTCAAAAACAAGAAGTGAGGGGTAAGAGTGTCCACAAAACAAAAGATAAAATGATTTCTAATTGTACAAGATGTGGAAAGAATCACATTGTAAATAACTGTCCAGCATACGGTAAAGTATGTGGAAAATGTAAGAGGCAAAATCATTTTGCTGCTGTTTGTAGAAGTCATAATAAAATAAAAATAAATGAGTTAGAAAAAGAAAAAGGGAAAGTAGACACTCTTACGACTCACGAAAAAGGCGAATACTTAATTATAAGTGCGGTAAATAAGAACAATAAAGATGAGAATGCGTGGTACACAGAGTTAGAAATTAATAAGGTCAAAGTTAAATTTAAGGTAGATACGGGGCAATGTGTAATGTATTATCAATGAATCAGTTAAAGGTGATAGGATTAAGTAAAGTTAAAATTGAACCTACAAAGGTAATGCTCAAATCATACACGGGTGATAAATTACAAGTCAAAGGTGTCTGGTCGGCAAATGTTAAAAGAAATAAGAGAGTATACAAGATAGATTTTTATATAGTTGTAACCAATACACCAGCAATACTAGGATTACCCTCATGTTTAAAATTAAATGTGGTTAAGAAAGTCGACAGCGTAGAGGAAAAAAACGTATATACAGAACTAACCAAAGAATTTAGTGATACTTTCTCAGGGGTAGGTTGCATAAAAAAACCATATCACATTAAATTAAAAGAAAATGCACAACCTGTGATACATCCCACACGTAGAGTAGCTCTGGCGCTAATGACCTAAATTAAAAGAATAGCTTAACAGAATTAGTAAAGAGAAAATAATAGAAAAGGTAGAAGAAGCCACCGATTGGGTGAATGCTTTAGTGATAACACAAAAACCGAATGGCAGCCTAAGAATTTGCCTAGATCCAAAAGATTTAAATAATAATATAAAAAGAGAACATTGTTTAATACCAACATTGGATGAAATTACAACTAAATTAACCGGAGCCAAAGTATTTAGCACATTAGATGCAACAAGCGGGTTTTATCAAATAACATTAGATTCAGAAAGTGCGAATCTATGTACATTTCGGAACCCCTTTTGGTAGATATAAATTCCTTCGACTGCCATACGGAATAAAGTCAGCGCCGGAAGTTTTTCAGGAGAGATTTAAACAAATTTTTCAAAACTGTGAAGGATGCGATATATACATAGATGACATAATAGTGTATGGTAAAGACACAACGGAACATGACACAAGACTGAAAAAAGTATTAGAAACTGCGAGAAAAAATAATGTCAAGTTTAATTTAGACAAATGTCAGTTTGGCAAAGAGAGCGTTAAATATTTAGGACACAATGTTAGTGCCAGCGGAATAACGTTAGATGAGAATAAAATAAAGGCGATCAAAGAACTGCAAACACCACAAAATAAAGAAGATGTACAACGCGTGTTAGGTATGTTAACATACGTAAGTAAATTTGTTCCAAACTTCTCAAGTGAAACAACACCGTTAAGAAATCTATTAAAGAAAGATGTAATTTTTACATGGAAATCGGAACATGAAAAAGCTCTAGAGGTTTTAAAAAATAAATTAATGACAAAACCGGTGTTGCAATTCTTTGATGTTGGAAAAGAAACAATTGTGTCTGTAGATAGTTCCAAATCAGGCGTAGGGGCCGTCCTATTACAAAATAATTTACCGTGTGCCTATGCCTCGAAAGCATTGACGGAGACGCAACAAAGATATACGCAAATAGAGAAAGAAATGGCGGCAATATGCTTCGGTCTAAATAAATTTCATGAGTATATCTATGGAAAAAAAATAATAGTTGAAACAGATCACCAGCCGTTAATTTCTATATTTAAAAAAGCAATAAATAAGTGCCCTGCAAGACTACAACGGATGCTATTACAAGTACAAAAATACGATATAGAGCTAAGATATAAGCCGGGTAAACAATTAATAATTGCAGACACGTTGTCAAGAGCATACATAAAAGATAAAGCAGATGAAAATTTTGACAATGAAATACAAGCACAAGTATGTCTCATAGAATCAGAATTAAGCGTTACAAAACAGAAGCTACAAGAAATTACTAAAGAAACGCTGCAAGACAAAGAGTTAACAGATTTAAAGTTGGTTATCAGAGAAGGGTGGCCAAAAAATTATAAAAACTAAAAGACAATTTAAAACTGTATACTAAATACAAAGATGAATTAACAGTAAGCGGAGATCTTATATTTAAAGGGTGCTGTTTAGTCATTCCAAACAAAATAAGAAAAGAAATGTTAGATAAAGTACATTACAATCACCTGGGGGTGAAAAAATGCTTGTCCCTGGCAAAAAAAATTATTTTTTGGCCAACAATGCATAATGAAATAAAACAAAAAATTGAAACGTGTCAATTATGCATAAAATACGCAAATTCACAATCCTCTGAACAGTTAAAATCGCATGAAATAGAAAAGTTACCGTGGAATAAAATCGGATGTGATCTGTTTGAACTACAAAGAAAAAAATATTTGTTAGTAATTGATTATTACTCTAAGTACATAGAAGTAGAAGAGTTAGGAGCAGACACCAGTAGTGTCCAAATAATTAAAATACTAAAGTCAATGTTTGCGAGACATGGCATACCGGTAACAGTAGTTAGTGATGGGGGACCACAGTTCTCGTCACAAGCGTTTGAAAACTTTGCTAAACAGTGGGAATTTACTCAC